ATTTTTTAAAATTAAATATGAAATAAATATTTTTGAAAGAATTAAAAATAAATAAAATAAATCAGGTATAATCTAGGTACCAAAACAAAATAATAGTTTAACAAGAGAAATAAATATACATAACAGTAAGTCAAACATATGAGATCAAAGAAATGTTATACATAAATTAGAATATATCTAAATTTTACATAGGAGAAACAGGCAGAGAATTAAAAGTCCGTTTCTGCCATTAAGAATAATAATAATAATTCAGCTGTAGCAATCCACTGCAATAAAGAAGGTGTCAAATAATAAAAGAAATGATTAAAATAATTATGACAAAATCAAATGCACTAAGACCCTGTTTAACATGGGATGCATTCCTAAACAACAAAGCGCTAAGTGAAACAGCGGTAAACAAGGTCATTTTTAACATAGATAAGGATAGGGGAACATGCGACCAAAAATAAACAAATTTTACTTTAATTTTAAGTTATTTTTATATTAATTTGCACACTAATATATGTTAAACAACACACAAACTTATGCACACAGAAATGTAAAGTTCATTTTTTTGTGACAAAGATCTTCACTTTTCTGAAATTCTTGTTTTTTTGCAATAAAGTCGTGAAGTTTCATTTGTTGATTTTTTCTTTCCTTAAGCAAATGTTGGTAGCAGAAAATCGTTACCAAAACACCTCGTTTTGCTTTAGCACTCCTTTCAAAATCTGGATCATTCGCTACAATTTGATCAATGATTTTGGTTATCTTACCAAACTTTTACTAAGGAAATCTATAGAGAAATTTTTTGGGTTCTTTGTTTTCAGAATCTCAATTTTCCAGTTCCACATGAATTCCGTTTTCTGACAATTCTTGAAGGTCGTCATTGGTAAGACTCTCACCAGAAACCTGCGGTAACTCCTCAATATCCTGTTCGTCTACATCTCCTAGTCCTGCTGTATCGATTAGGTTGCGTTTGATCAACCTAATGATACAGCAATAGGCTCTTCTCGTTGAGAGTTCTTGGATACCATCAGCCATAAATTCTTCCATATTCGTTCATGCATTTATCAGTTAATTCTTGCCAAGCGAAGTTGATATTTCCTATGGTATCCATGATGTTATATTTTTTCCAAAATTGCACAAAATAAATATAGATTTAAAGTAAGTACACCTTTTTGACACCTTTTGCTGATTGGTTTGTGTTTGCAAATAATCATATTATATACAAATGAATGAAATGCCAAGATAATTTAAATCAGCATAAATTTTGAGCTTTTTTTAGGCTTTGAGCAGACGGCGTTATGTTGAATTAGTGTTAAGCGAGGCAGCGTTAAGCGGGGTCTTACTGTACATATAAAAGAAGTTGGTATGAGCATTTAGAAATATTAAAAAAAAATTACAAATAACAATTCTGGCCAAAAATTGCATGAATCATGGTATGTATATCTGACAAGAGAAGATGTGGGGGAAGGGGTGTGTATAAATATGAGGAAAAAAGAGAAAGGTGGCACTAAACTGGTTGTAGTGGTGTTAATAAAAAGTTATTTAATGTACAGTGTATCATATTATTATAATGCTGTCTTTTATTCGTAATAGTTATAACAGTTGGTCAACTTGTAGCATTGCATATTGTTTTAATCATATTGCTCTAAACTTTGTTTTAGCATGTTTAATGTAAGTTTATAATTCTTATATTTTTTCTGGGTATTCAAATTGTTAACATTTTGTTAAAATTATAGTAAATACCTAATGATTGGATCTGTAAAAGACAATTTGCCAAATGTTGAGGTTCTATCTGTACATTTTGAAGTTGTAGATGTGTCAATTTCATGAAGATGTAAGTTATATTATGACCTAAATTTATAATGTTAATACAGCCTAATTTACATATGTTATGTTATTGTGAGATCCGAAAGGCCCCTGGGTCTAATTTATGAATTTTTATTAATATGTTTAAAATTATCGACAAAATATTATTTCATTTTGTGTGAAAAAACTAGTGTTTTAGACGTGGGAAAAATAGATGACAAATGTTATTTCCTTTCATCGAGGAGAACATCCGCTGTTTTTCCCGTATCTGGTTAAAAATCTCGCTCAGATGGGAAATGGTTACCCCTCATTCATCCCCCTCTCATCCGTTCTCACGAAAGAGTTACTGGACGATGATTGGACGAAATTTTGAAATAAAAGGAGAAATTAGTCAGAATTCGAGGAGTTCTCCGACCGATTTGAAAGTGTCCAGACTCCACATACGTTTCCCTCCAGAAGGCCAACGCCCTATACGAGTCATTTAGACTAAGTTCCAGGCCTATACGTAGAAGTGATATTTTTATATTTTGTGCACGAATTGATCTCCCATACGAAAGTAATATGAACCCTATCTACAAGGTGTCCTATATCTACAGAAAAGAAGACGACAACTAACAGGTCGTATGTTTAGAATCATTTGTGAGCTCTCTCTCGAATGCGCATTAGCATAGATTAAGTCGTAACCTTTAACTTGTCGTATAATCGTTGTTATTGATTTTCTGTATTCGTTTGTTTGATATTTATTAAATATACTCTTGTTTTAATATATAAGTATGTCTCCTCAATTCATTCCGAATCAGATCGCATACGCGTGTTAATCCGCGTGTAAAATAAATGATTAACTGGTGTCAAGGAATCCTGACGTTAGATATAGTCTTCGCCGCCTATATCCAATCAACATTTTAATAGCTCTCCTATGAAATAGATTTGGATCGGATCTTACGATTCGAAACCTTGGAGATCTATTCTCGCGGAATAGTGCCGATTAAGTGGTACGAACGATCCTAAACGGTGTTGTACCCCCGGCTGATCTCACAATTATGAAAGAAAAAATGATGGTCTTAGTTATTTTATAGCATTATAAAATATAAATTTTCTTAAGTAATGACAATCTTTATTAAAGTAAGAAACTCAATAAGCAATAACAAACTTACTAGTAATGATTGGCAAAAAAGGCAATTTATTTTTCTGAATCTGTGATGATCAGTAGTGCAACATTCTAGTTTTTGATTTTAGCATATACATGAAAGTGAAAGAACTACAAAAACATTTTATAAAAGAATTTTTATTTTTATCTGATTTTTTGAATTAGTATTTTATTTTATTATTAAACAAGATGTTATAATCTTATTTATATACATACAGTAATACCTTGACTTATGCTACCCTGACTTACGCGAACCCGGAGTTATGCAATTTTCAAATCTCATCGATTCGTCTTTTGTTTGAGTGCCACGCAACTCTTGATTACTCACTCCCCCCACACTATTGTTCAGCTTACATGTTCGGACATGTCGCGCAGAATCAACACAATTTATTTTGTGTTATTTATTTCTGTGTTTGTTATATCTATGGAGACTTGAGAAATTCTATGTGGTAATTTCTTGTAACCATGAACGAATCAAAAGACGAGATAAGATTAACGAGAACATTTATTAGCTTACATATATCCGACTTGGATTTTACACAAATTGCGAAATTATATCCCCACTTACGTGGTTATCGCTTGGTCTCACCTATCGCGTAAGTTCGGGGTATTACTGTATATACAAATTTATAAACAAACATTTCATTAATTTATTTAGAATTTTCCATAACCATGGATTTTTAAATTTATTCTAATAATATAAAATTGTAAAATTATTTATATTATTGATACTAATATGTAATACCAATTGATTTTGATTAGTGTGAACCTATTCATGGCTATGGATTTCGAAGAGGTGGTTATCAATGTCGTTGTCGACCTGGCTATCGTCTGCCTCGTGTAGTTCGTAATCCATATTCAGGTGAAATAATTGAAAGGGCTACTGGAGAGGAATATCGTAAAGGCTTTCATTGTGACAAAATAAATTGTAAGTAATATATATATATACTGTACATGTATAAGTGCATGTATTTTTATTTATAAGTTTAATTAATTTTAAGAAATTTTATTATTGAGCATGACTTATTAATTTCTTATTTATTACAAATTTATTTAATAGATCTGATGGCAATTACTCAAAAAATTGAAAGATTGTCACAGGAAGATAGAAGGTATTATATTGAAAGGGAGATGCCTTATAGTAATGTTGGAAACATTTCTGCACAGCGTCTAGATCCAACAACATTTTTAGAATATATTTATAAAAATGTATGTTTATTTTATATTTATATAAATATAAATGTTTAATATTTAATTAGAAACATTTATAAACATATCATATGTTTATGTTATGTTTATAAATATGTTTATATATATTTATAATTAATATAAGTAAGCAAGAGAGACAATTCTAATATCAGATAATTCAGACTATGTTTTGAAGTAAAGATTTATTAATCTAATCAATTATTAACAGTATTCATTAACAAAAAATTCAAAGTATATAATCTTAAACATGCTGCTAGTCAACTTTCCTCTGGAAATTTATTCCTCTTAAAATTAGACTTTAATATAAAGTCTATTTTTAAGAGTTTTCATTACTGAGCATGATGTTTGTAAGCTTTCCAATCATGTTGTTAGCTTAGAAACAGTTATGAAGAAAACCTGAAGAGGAATTATTTAAAATTCTGTACATTATTATGTATTGTGTTATGTTTATGACATATTAAGAATATTTTAATTGTGTAGATTACTGATAAATTTGACTTTGTGTTTTATAGTAAAAGTAATCAAGTATATATATTGATAAAGTTAACTTATGAAATCTAGAATATGCATTAAGAGATTACGTTTTTAGATCTAAAATCATACACACTTGAGCTTTATTGCTGTGTGCATTATAAAATTGAAATGTATCCATTTATTATATCCTATGATTAATTCAAATCAGAGGAAATAATAATAATATAACGTTATAATTTTAAAAGTTGAACTTATCTATTAGAAAAGGTAAACCTTACAACTGTCTATCACTGTCACGAAAAAAGATTTATTTTGCAAATACTTTTGACAATATATAACTGTCTTCTTCAGGCAATATTGTTTATAGAGAACAGAATGTTTAAATTAGACAAAAAATAGAATGTTTCTTATGCACATTCTTGGAACTTAAATTACATATAAAAAAACTGCTTACAGAGAACCAATTTACAATGTGATAACAAAACATCAAAAAATATCAAAAAAACATGTTTTTGAACCCCTTCTTGGCTCTGCATCAGGTTCTTAACTGTTCCTGGATGGATATTTGATTAACTAATGCTATTTAAATAATGTTCAATTGTAAGTTTGAAATGATTTACAAAAAACTACATTGCACATGTGCAATGAGTCAGCCTACCCGAATACTATGAGTGGCTAGAGTATGCCACTCACAGCTTAGAGCATTTGGAAATTGCACAGGAGGTAGACTTGCCGAATGATAACCAACCAGAAGACATAGAATGCATCCCCATCACCTTTAAGATCTATATATGCCAAGGTTGCCAGGAAACACCAGGTATGAATTGCTTTCAGGAGGTGCCCTACTATTTTTAACATCTTATGTAATGGGAACCTAACCTCAGCAGAGGCTCAGGAGTTTATAGTGTCCCTTTAAGGGATAATAGATGCGATAGGGACCTGTTATATATAGGCTCTACTAAACAGTCCATGGGCGTTAGAATTCAAGAACATCAGAAGGATATTCGTCACAGGAGACCTTCCATGGCCCTCGCTGCTTATGCCACAGATCCAGACATAGTGGCCGACTTTACTCAAGCCAGTCTCCTCCTCGCTGTGCTTCCCAATGAACATCTCAAATGGTTAGAGGCTATGTACATCTTTAAATCCTCCATCACAACCACATGCATGAATTTTAAAAAGGAGATGGTCTTGTCATTGGCCTGACAAGAGTTGCTCTAGCCCAGGGGTGTCTAACCTTTTTGTTTCTCTGGGCCACATTGGAAGAAGTCATGGAGTTTTGGGCCACAAGTGTATTTTGACCCAATCCTTAAATATACAAGTATATTTAAGTATTAACATATCTAGATTATAGTAATAAGTATTAAAAGTTTACCACAAAAAAGAATATTTTTAAAAATTACTTTTACTTTCACACTTTCAGTTTTTACTTAGAAATAGATAAATTCATTTATTATAAAGGAGACAAACAAAAATTTATATGAAAAACACAAATATTTGTTTTATTTGGGTCTCTAATTAATAAAAAACGATGAAATACCATTTTAAAGTGCATTTTTATTCAACTAATATATTTATAAATAATATGTAGCCCAAAAAGTAGCCAATGTGCCAACTGATATTTTTTACATCAAACTAATAAAAGGGTAGCCAAATTTTGTGCAAAGTAGCCAAATCTTGCAATGCTGGAAGGAATACTAAATAAAGCTGTAGTTGAGACTCAAAGGATTATTTCTTTTCCACTCAAAAATAAAATATGTATAAAGGTTTATGGCTTTGTGAAACTTCTTTTTTGAGTTTATGCCGTTGAAATAAATGAATAAATAAATAATTTAAAAAATTGTCGGTTTTGTGTACACGTTTATTGGGCTGCATTCGAACTTCCCTTGGGCCGCGGGTTGGACACCCCTGCTCTAGCCGCTCATAGTATCTGGGCAGGCCAACTTTTTGCACATGCACAACATAGTTTTTTGTAAATCGTTTCAAACTTACAATCAAATGTTATTTAAACAGCATTAGTTAATCGAATATCCATCCAGGAACGGTTAAGAACCTGATGCAGAACCAAGAAGGGGTTCAAAAACATTTGTTTTTTTTAAATATTTTTTGATGTTTCATTATCACACCGTATATTGGTTCTGTGTATGCAGTTTTTTAAGTAATTTTGGTGTGGTGAGTGATTATTTACATATATAAATTACAAAATTATGTAATAATATAAAATGCTTGAAATTGCTTCATGCAATGTCAAATAGTTTAAGAAAATATTAACACTCTGTCGATATTATTATTTTACTTGAAATATTACTACAAATACTTTCTACAAATTTCAGATAGTCTTCTTCAGGTATAGAATAATGGAACTTTAAAATTTAAAATATAATGTATATTTTAAATTGTGTTCCAAATGGCAAATTTAAAAGAATTTCATAGGATGTGTCCATACGTTGAAAAAAACTATATAATAATAATAACAATAATTAATAAATAAATAAGTAAAACAGAAATAAAAATAGAAATAAAAATGTATAATTTAGAATAGTTAGTGCAATAATTTTTGAGTTAATTCTAAATTATACATTTTTTGCACATTTTTATTTCTGTTTTATTTATTCATTAATTATTTTGCCACCAGTAACAAGGGAGACTATTATCAATGCTTGTTGCTGGATTATCCTGGCAGGTTACGTGATCTTCATTAATAATGTTACATGTTTCTGTCTATTGATGTATTTGATCAGCAACCTGTTGTTTGATAAGTTCAAGTTCTGTTTGTGGGATAAGGTTGTTGTGTATAATTGTTCTTTTTTGATCAACAACCCTTTGTTCGATGACAGTGAGGTGAGGATATTGTTGTGTGAATCTATGGTGTAGTTGTTGTCTGTATGCTGTCATGTTTGTTTCAAGTCTTGTGATGGTGTAGTAAGTACGAATGATAAACTCGTTCATTTCTGTTGTCCATTTCATCTGTTGGCGTGGTTTTCCAGCCTTTGTGTCTGTGGATGCATTGCCATAGAAACACCAAGGCTAGGTTGATTCCTCACATCTATTGAGGGCATTGCAGTAACCATGCTTGGGCTGACGCTGCTTTCGCACCAGTAACCAAGGGAGACTGCGACCTATTTTTCAAATGTGAGCCTCTGCCTAACCCACGAACGCGGACCTTGTTAACCTGGGCGACGTCCGAGCCGGTATCACACTTTGATCTGGTTACCACCATGATAAATATCTCCACAGAATGTGGACGTGGTCACTCTTAGCTTCATTTCTCCCATAGACCTTACTGGCATGGGTGTCGCTACCAGGAGCTTGTGCTCCAGCCTGCATTGCTCTATGGATCAGTAAAATTACTGGGCTCTCTTTGCAATGCACCACCACAACCAGGTAGTGACCATGGGAGAGTTATTATTATAGTTTTTTTCAATATATTGACCCATCCTATGGAATACATTTTAAATTTACCATTTGAAACATATTAACTTATATTTTAAATTGTAAGGTTCCATTATTTTATACCTGAAGAAGACAATCTGAAATTTGTTGAACATAGTTGTAGTAATATTTCAAGTAAAATAATAATGCCGACAGATAGTGTTACCATTTGAAACATATTAACTTATATTTTAAATTGTAAGGTTCCATTATTGTATACCTGAAGAAGACAATCTGAAATTTGTTGAACATAGTTGTAGTAATATTTCAAGTAAAATAATAATGCCGACAGATAGTGTTAATATTTTCTTATACACTATTATAAAATAACTATGATATACAAAGGAAAAACATTAATAAAAGTAACTGGATTCAAATATAAAAATAAATAATTAATAATAAATTAATCAATAAATAAATAAAAAATAAAAATAAATACATAGCAGTGCCATTAATAATGTGAGGTGTTTTATTACAAACCATGTGACTTACAATTTTAGAAGGTTAAACAGTGATGTCCATAACTCTGGTATATCTAGCATGGGAGTTGCATGATGACATTGATGCAGATAAATCTTTCCCTTGCCTTATACTTCTATTAGTGTTTTCCCTTGGTTATTTTGTAATATTGTATAATTTTGTAATTTTATATACTGGTATGTAATTTAAGTTCCATGCACTTGTATAAGAAACATTCTATTTCTTGAATTCAAATGTTCTGTTCTCTATGAACAATATTGCCTGAAGAGGACAGTTATATACAGGTAGACCTCAGTTTACACTGCAGTTTCGTTCCTACAAAAGCCGGTGTAAAATGAACCCATATTTACAGTGAGGTATAGAGTTAGGTTCTACATAAGTGAAAAATAAGCAAATAATTTTGTTTATTAATACAATATATTACAAAATACATAAATTTAATTTTTAAAATGTATTTTATTATAAAATAAAGTGAAATGTTTTTAATTAAAAAATTTTAGTTTCAGATTTCTTACATTTTTTGAAAAAAAAGTATCCATCTTTAGTTGTTTACATTTTTGTTTTCTTTCATTGAGAATTTCAGAATATGGTCGAATATGATGCTCCTTTTTACATTTGCACTTCACTCCCAATCATTGTCTAACTCACAAAGTTTATCCGTTAAATTTTCCATAGTTAAAAGGATACATTAATCTTAGGTAGAGCTACAGATGAGCGGAGACACTGATTGGTCGACCACCGGTCGCTGTAGCGCATATATAAGTCAGTTTTAGTGGGAAAATTGAAGGTGGCTAAGGAGAGATAGATATTGTCTGACTGACAAGAAATAGATATTGTCTGGCTAATAAAAAAGTATCGTCTGACCAACAAGAAATAGATTTGTCTCACCAACGATAGTTTGTGATTACCAAAAGTGTTACTGCGTCATAAGGTGTTTTCCTGAATGAACTGATACGGGATACATTCATTGGCACTATGGATTCAGATGCCATTTATTGGACTATTAAGTTTAATAACTTGACTCGTGGGTACCTAAACATTTAGTATTTTAATATTAATTTAATGCAAATGTATACATACCCAATTATATTAAACAGAAAAAATAAATATATTTAATAAAAATCTTTGTTTTAACAAATATACGATGTTGCGGCTCGGTAAATACATCAACACTGAAGTGAAAATCAGTCTAGCATAGGGAAAATCGGGGAATTACACTGCAAAACGACAAATTGCACAGTGGCATTATTGTGAATTGGCGTAAATTGAGCCAGCATAAACTGAGGGCTACCTGTATTGTCAAAAGTATAATTATATTCAAGTTTATTTTTGCCACTTGTCTTGCACTTAAGGTTTTCAGTGTTTTTTATTTATTATTTTTACTTTTGCATCATTTTTTAGGCCTATCACTATTGTGCAATTAATAATATAAATATGTTTTAGGCTTTTATATACACTGACAAGTGAAAAGAATTGTTATATTTTACAGCAGTAATCTCTAACCTAACTTGCAATATTAGCAAGATAGTTGTATATACATAGTTTTTCTTATATGGTAATACCTCAGTTTTCATTGACTTTGGTTATTTCATATTTCGAAACCGTGTTGTATCTTTATATTATTTTTTCAAAATTGCAATGCAGCTTAATAATCAACACTTGGCATAACTCATTTGTTTATATCAGTTTTTGTTGATTTTATTATTTTTTCAAAATCGCAATGCAGCGTAATAACATTTGGCATAACTCATTTGTTTATTTCAGTTTTTGTTGAATCTTTATATTATTTTTTCAAAATTGCAATGCAGCGTAATAATCAACAGTTATTTCAACAAAAACTGAAATAAACGAATGAGTTATGCCAAATGTTGATTATTACGCTGCATTGCGATTTTGAAAAAATAAGACTTTGGTTATCATCGGTTTCGGCTTTTGTTGAATTTTTTCAAGGAAAATTTGTTTTGGTTTTCATCGGCATGCCCATGTAGCCTCCTGCTAATTTTGCAAAAAACAGGACGACTCACACATTTTCTGCTCAGTGTGATGTTGTTTCTCATTGTATGAGCATTACCTCGTGCATCTAGCCAAACAACTCCATCGCTATCCTTTTCTTTTAGCTCCATCACATGACCAAAGAAAGTTTCCAGAGCCAGCAGCACTTCAAATTCTTTGTTAAATGCTATGTTAAATGTTCATTTATTCTTTACATTAGATTTTTTATATTCATTTTATATTAATTTCTTATTGTTTTTAGTATTAAACACAATATTTATTATCTATAAAATGTGTTTTTGGTGTGTATTTTTGAGTGTCTAGAACAAATTAATTGGATTTACATTGATTGATTCATATGGAAATAATTGCCTTGGTTTTCATTGGTTTTGGATTATGCAGATTGTTTTTGGACAGATTAACAACAAAAACCGAGGTATCACTGTATTCATTTTGTAAAAATTTTCATTAAAATATAAAATCAGTTGACAGATTTATTATTAGTTTTATTACATTTAAATAAGACAAAAACTTATCAATAAATACTATTTACGTTCAGTTTTAAAAGTTTATATTATTTAATTTATGTATCTTTTCTTCTAATTTAGATCACAAAAGATAACTGTTCTAAAATTCTTGAAGAATCTCCAGAAAAGTTAATATTACGAGGGGATGTTGCTTTTGGTAAAGAAGAGCAATTAGAAAATGAAGCTCGAATGGCACTTCGTCTTGCAAATTTTATATCTGCTTTCTTGCAAATTGTAGATCCTAAGGAAATGTTTGCAGAATATAGGGTACCTGATAAACCGTTAACTGTTGATCAAATTATAGGTGAAATTTTATCTATAGTAACTGGTGATAAAAAAATCCAAGGAGCTGGTGTTTATTTTGACAGAAATCAATTCCCTAATCGTACATTATTTGGTCCCTATGTTTATAGAAAACAAAGAAATGCTCGTCAATTTTTTGTTGATGATAACATATATAAAAATAAAGAAAATTCTTATTTAAATAAAGATTGGTTTAATAAACTGAAAATTCGTTGGTCAGCTAATACTGATGAATTGGAAACATATACTACAAAGATTGATATAAGATATAATTCAACAGGCTTACATACAATTCATTATGATCATTATCCATTACAATATAAAGCAGCAGCTATCAACCATGGTTATTGGACATCACCATATTTTGATTGTGGAGGTTTTCATGAAACATGGTTAATTAAATATGCAGCTCCATTCTTTGGATGGGATAAAATAAAAAATCGTTTAGAATTTAAGTAAGTAAAATATATACATTAAAATTTTTTCTCATTTTAATGTATTTAAAGTATTTTCATTTAATGGAAAATTTTATGTTGATTTTTATTTTATAAAACTACCTTATTTACTCGCATATAAGATGACCTTGTATATAGGACGAAGTGTGACTTTATAGACAAAATGAAGAAAATTAGATTTATTAATACAATTCTAATTTTATTTTGTTTAATCACAAGTAAAATATCAAATAAACATAAATGCACACATTGTCCTGCAAAAATCACTGGCATTTTAAACTAAGGAAAAATCTTGTAAAATAGACAACATAATTTGTTCATGTAATGCTGGTCAATCGGGAACCTTTTTTTGCCAATTCTTAACAGTCGAATCCACTTTCTGTTGATTACACTTATGAGTTTTTCCAAATTCTTATTTCCAAATAATCATCTGTTTTTGTGTGGGAATGGATTAAAACTTATATCGTGCTCCTGTGTGAATTCAAAAGCTTTGCTTTTCCTATTGCTATTCATCTTTACTCCTGACAATATACAAGAATGATTCAAACAACCCAGATAAAATACTTGTGTTTTTAAATACAAGAGGCTAAGCATCCAGTAAAAAATGCAAATACACTGTTCACAAAAATTATTTGCAAAAACGCAAAGACTCTTTTGCTCGCACGTATAGGATGACCTAGGAATTTGAAGCTGTGATAAATGAATAAAAACCTCACATTATATGCAAGTAAATATGGTATTATTCTTGACCTGTTGCAAATGAACTATTCATAGGCCAAATCAATTAACACCTTTAGTTATGAAAAAAAATGTAAAAATAGCATATCCTTGGAATAATTGTTATTATTTTATATGTCATTAGATAAAAGCTACACCTGTAATGATACATTCTACAATGCTTATTTAAATTTAAATTTTGAAAAAGAGTGAATATATTATTAAAATTATATTATATATAAAAAAGAATATATTATTTTATCAGTTTCTCTACTTTTTGTTTTGTGGAGTTAATCAATTTGGCAAATGAATGGCTCAAATAAGAGATTAGATAAATTTATGTCTGAAATAGCATCAAATTAAACATTATACATATTTTAATATTAAAAGTATAATGAATTAAAAATAATGTTATGATATATAATGTTACTTTGATTTCATATAAATGAATAAGATTCATAGATTTATCTGTAGAAAATCCTTTTTATTGGCTGTTGTTTCATAATTAGCTTAAATCATGATTTTGGTTTTTAATGATTGTTATATGAAAATAAAATTTTCATTAATAAATTTATATTAATTTAATAAAACATATTAATATAATAAAAACTTAAAAAAATATCTTAGTTTTTATATTTATACTAAAATGTTTAAGTAATTTTTGATTTAGAGGAGTAGTTGCTGTATCAATGAGGCTGGATGAGTTGGATCTTAATCAATGTCAAGACGAATATTATGTTCAAAATGCCTTTAAAAATACCCATAAATGTGATAGACGTTCTTCTAGGGTAAGATAATTTGACTCTAAGTTGAAAAATATTGTTAGTATATTTAAGTATATAATATATACAGATTGATTATGTTAGGTTTTACACTTTCTATTATTCTTAAGATCAGTATATACTTTTAAATTATTAAATAAAAGATATTTCCAAAAGCAGTAATTGTTCACTAATGTCTCAATGGTCAGTGGTTAAAGAATAAATTGAGATCGTCCTGTAATCTCAACCACACTATTATAGTGTTTATAAAAATTAATAAAAAGAAATTGCTGTGCTTGAGGGCTGAAATTCTTCTAGACTGAACAGTGGTATATAAGAAGTCCTACTATAAAGCACTGGTAACTGAGCTTAAAATTAATATTACATGAACTTGAAAAACTGCATAAAACATTTGTCTTCTGCTACAAAGAATGCCATGTTTTCTTGCATAACATTAGAATGCCATCTGATGACGGCATTCTAATTGATGATACAGAAGTATTCAAGAAGTAATTTCAGTTCCTTTAATACAATAAGACATCTTTGACTTGTGAACACTATCTGCCAATTTATAAATAATTGTCAAAATTGGAGTTAAAACATAGTTGACACATTGTATTGTATGAGTTATACAACATTTATAATATGGTCTGTTGGAAGTTAATAGACAAACAATTTATAAATTGATGATAATTAAGTTTATAGTCACCAAAAGAAAAGAATTTGATTCTATTAATATATGATGTCTTTGTAATTATAAGAGATTTCATTCAATTTACTTTTCCAAAATAAATTTTATCCAGTCACTATTTGTAGCATTCAAATTGGCTACTTTTTTCTTGTTAAGAAATTATGTTTAAGATTATAATAAACACATTTGAATCGATTGTTTAGTTTATTTTTCTTAATTAACACCAGAAATGGTATTTTATTTCAATAATTTTAGCTATGTTTTTTTCTTGTGTGAAGTTTTACCAAAGCTATTTTACAATTGGTTAATCAGATGGTTGTAAAGTAAGACTTTCACTTAGTGTTGTGAGGAATCTGAATTCTTATAAACTTTCATGGACAGTTTGATTCATGCTGCTGTTCTCTATCCAGTTTGGTTGATCCCAACAAAAGTTGGCAGTGCCTATTCAATGGTAGCTTGTATCTGAGGCAAAGCCGATTTTTGCAGCTCTTGCTTTCAGAATAGTTGCCTATAGAGAGCATTTTTATTGCTGGTATTCTTGTATGAACTACTTATAAACAGTTTTAAAACATATTTACAAAACTTCATTGTATTTGGCTTATTACTTCTAGTTTTATATATTTTTTCCTCTGGACATTTTTGACCACCTATTTTGCTGTTTGATGCAAAATAATCATTGTCTCAATTAAACTGGCCCTGTAAGTTCCTATCTATTATAGTCAAAATTTGAAATTGACCTATAGTGCACTTAATATCTTTTATTAATAAATCAATCATTTAATTTACAATTAATTTTATATTAAATTTATAAATGTACTGTATAGCAATATAAATCATATAGATCAATGATAAATTATTATTCAAGTTTATATATCTAATATTAAGTTAATTTTTTATCAAGTAAAATTTTTAACAAATAAGAAAGAAATTTAAAAATTTTAAACGTATTTAGTCATTAAAAAGAAATTAGCATAAATGTGTGTATTTTATTTGATAGTGTGTGCCCATACTTGGACGAGGATTTGAAGCTGGTGGTTATAAATGCGAGTGCCTTCAAGGTTACGAATACCCCTTTGTTGATCCAATTACTTACTTTGATGGACAGATTTTAGAAGCAGAATTTGAAAAAGCTTTTAAAGATCAACCAAGTCGGTTTGACACTCAAAAATGTAGAATTGCGGGTAGTGTAACAGTCCAGGCTAATCTTATAAGTATTTTGTTACTACTAATTCTTAACAGAGTATTTTTTTAAAAGATATTTCATTTTATAAATTATGTGAACTTTATATTATTGTGTTGTATTAAAAGCTTATTACAGTAATTTTTATAGTTTGCATGATAAATCAAAAATTACAGTATGAAATTGATTGTCTTTAAATAAATATTTTATACAAGTTTGGAATTTTTAATGTTATAAACCAAAAAAAAAAATTTAATATCCCCAAAAACAATTCTGGGGATATTATAAATTATAATATATTATAAAGAATATATTAAATTTAGGGATATTATTCTGGATATTAAATTAATATCCAGAATTATTTAACGTTAAAACCACAGAATATTGATAAATAAAAAAATATTTGTTTTCTGGACTTGGTTTCAGTCTTTGTCTTTATCTTATTAGAAATCATCAGAAATATCAAAACAAATGAAATAACACTTTCGTTTGTTTTGATATTTCTGAAATCAACTCAACTTTTTCTATCTACATAAAGTCATAGATGTTTTATAAGTAAGAATCTGTCATTAAAAAATTATCTAGAAATGCCTTCTCATCAACACCATTACAATCTCAAAGTGCTCTTATGATAACTATAGAGATTTCAAATTTTTGGGAAAATTTCTACAAAATTTTTAATGTTGTTAGTATATTTAAGTATATAATATATACAGATTGATTATGTTAGGTTTTACACTTTCTATTATTCTTAAGATCAGTATATACTTTTAAATTATTAAATAAAAGATATTTCCAAAAGCAGTAATTGTTCACTAATGTCTCAATGGTCAGTGGTTAAAGAATAAATTGAGATCGTCCTGTAATCTCAACCACACTATTATAGTGTTTATAAAAATTAATAAAAAGAAATTGCTGTGCTTGAGGGCTGAAATTCTTCTAGACTGAACAGTGGTATATAAGAAGTCCTACTATAAAGCACTGGTAACTGAGCTTAAAATTAATATTACATGAACTTGAAAAACTGCATAAAACATTTGTCTTCTGCTACAATGAATGCCATGTTTTCTTGCATAACATTAGAATGCCATCTGATGACGGCATTCTAATTGATGATACAGAAGTATTCAAGAAGTAATTTCAGTTCCTTTAATACAATAAGACATCTTTGACTTGTGAACACTATCTGCCAATTTATAAATAATTGTCAAAATTGGAGTTAAAACATAGTTGACACATTGTATTGTATGAGTTATACAACATTTATAATATGGTCTGTTGGAAGTTAATAGACAAACAATTTATAAATTGATGATAATTAAGTTTATAGTCACCAAAAGAAAAGAATTTGATTCTATTAATATATGATGTCTTTGTAATTATAAGAGATTTCATTCAATTTACTTTTCCAAAATAAATTTTATCCAGTCACTATTTGTAGCATTCAAATTGGCTACTTTTTTCTTGTTAAAAAATTATGTTTAAGATTATAATAAACACATTTGAATCGATTGTTTAGTTTATTTTTCTTAATTAACACCAGAAATGGTATTTTATTTCAATAATTTTAGCTATGTTTTTTTCTTGTGTGAAGTTTTACCAAAGCTATTTTACAATTGGTTAATCAGATGGTTGTAAAGTAAGACTTTCACTTAGTGTTGTGAGGAATCTGAATTCTTATAAACTTTCATGGACAGTTTGATTCATGCTGCTGTTCTCTATCCAGTTTGGTTGATCCCAACAAAAGTTGGCAGTGCCTATTCAATGGTAGCTTGTATCTGAGGCAAAGCCGATTTTTGCAGCTCTTGCTTTCAGAATAGTTGCCTATAGAGAGCATTTTTATTGCTGGTATTCTTGTATGAACTACTTATAAACAGTTTTAAAACATATTTACAAAACTTCATTGTATTTGGCTTATTACTTTTTTATATATTTTTTCCTCTGGACATTTTTGACCACCTATTTTGCTGTTTGATGCAAAATAATCATTGTCTCAATTAAACTGGCCCTGTAAGTTCCTATCTATTATAGTCAAAATTTGAAATTGACCTATAGTGCACTTAATATCTTTTATTAATAAATCAATCATTTAATTTACAATTAATTTTATATTAAATTTATAAATGTACTGTATAGCAATATAAATCATATAGATCAATGATAAATTATTATTCAAGTTTATATATCTAATATTAAGTTAATTTTTTATCAAGTAAAATTTTTAACAAATAAGAAAGAAATTTAAAAATTTTAAACGTATTTAGTCATTAAAAAGAAATTAGCATAAATGTGTGTATTTTATTTGATAGTGTGTGCCCATACTTGGACGAGGATTTGAAGCTGGTGGTTATAAATGCGAGTGCCTTCAAGGTTACGAATACCCCTTTGTTGATCCAATTACTTACTTTGATGGACAGATTNTCAGAGCAGTCAAACTTTTACACAATCAGCTTAGGCCTATTTCACAATGATATAAAAAGTGAGTGTCAAAAACCAAAGTGATTTTGAAGTTACTAGAAGAATATCAGCATTTATATAGATATGATGCTGTATCTATCAGAGAATCAGAGAAATATAAAAATTAACTGTACCTGTAAAAGAATGTAATTTAATTAAATATTACATTCACACTGAAGAAATATTTCAGATATTGAATGATACTATATTGCTATTGGCCATGGCATCAGAAACTGTATGGAAAAAGAATTAAGTACAAAATATAAAAATATCACAAGGGAAATCATAATTTTCTTGAACGTGTGTGAAATCTAATAGAAAAAAACAATGTTCCTAAGAAAGGCTTGATAGTTAAACCAATTTTAAGTAATAAAATGAACTCAAGATGTCAGATTAACCTTATAGATATGCAGTCACAAGCTGATGAACTTTATAAATTTATACTCATGTACTATACTTTTCATTAACATTAATTTACTTAATACAGTTAATAATACTTAATTTTTAAAAATTTCATGTTATTAAAATACTTTAAAATAATTCACAAAAATAAAAAATTCTTAATGAAAAAAGTGGAAAGTTTTTGAAAATCAAATTGCTCAAAGGAAATGCAGCTTTATTCGTAATATTTGGTCAATTTAATAAATTAATCAATATTTATCAGACTGCATGGCCATTTTAGTCATTTTTCATAATTGCTGGACATTATAAATAATGTGAAGTCCTGGACAGGTCTGAACTGTCATGAAATTCAAAAAACAGTTGATTTAGAGAAAAAAAAATGCAATTGTTTAAAAAGGCAAGGGGGAAAAAAAGGTTGTAGTCTGACACCTTTTGTCTGTATCAAACTGCGATAAAGAAACCATAAATCAGAGAAGGAATGTCATCTTATCATGCAACATTTTTGTTCTCCATGCTTCATGACATTCCAATATGCATGTTATTTGTATTTTTATATTAGGATTGTTAAAAATCAAAGAGTATTTGAATTATATTTTTGTTTATGCTCTTAAAATAGCGCGTTCAATTGTAAATTTGTAATCCGTCCAACTTGTGATACATACTGAATTATATTCTGATATATAGTTTTTGTACACTAAATAATTTCATACTTTTAAGCACATAAACATGTAAAATGTTTAATCTTAAAATGTAAATTTAGAGAAGAATATATATTATTCATTGTGTAAAATTTAACAAATATAATCATTACAGGGAAAAATGGAATAAATTTTTTTTATAAAAAAATAATTTTGTTTTAGTTAGTTCACAAACTTTGAATTCCTTTAAATTCTGAGTAACCTTGTAACATTTCTGAAAAATTTCATTATAAATGAGCATGACAATAGAAGTTGTTAAAATTTAAAGAAGCTGGTCAGTAGTGCTCATTTAATTATTAATATTCTTATTCTGTTAATTTTAACTATGAGAAATTTATAATCATACAAAGGATCTATTGGTCATTTATGCCATTCTTAGCCAAAATCAATGTCAGAAATAATAAACAGATAATAACTTAATTTGTAATTATAAATTTATACTTTTATATATATATATATATATACTAAA